AAGAGAAAGGGAGAGGGAGGGAGAGATAGAAACATCAATGATGAGAGAGAATCATTGATCAGCTGCCTCCTGCACAACCCCCACCAGGGACCGAGCCTGAAATCTGGGCATGTGCCCTGACCAGGAATCGAACCGTGATCTCCTGGTTCATAGGTCAAAGATCAACCACTGAGCCAGGCTGGCCAGGCATGACGTGCAGTCTTAACTGGCCTAGAGTCAGGACCTCCAGCCCACACCTGCCTTGCGCCTGGGTTCTTCAGCGGACAGGGAAACGCAGGGCATAGAGTGTGTTCCCAGCAGCCGTGGGGAGCTGCACACCCGGGGCGGGGGGAGGGGGGTGGGTGCAGCCTCGCCGCCCAGGCCTTTGCAGACCAAGAACACTGCTGGCAAATGGAAACCTGATCTTGGCCTTTGGGCCTCCTGTGGCATCTCAGCTCAAAGGTAAACAGACTCTGACCATTCCTCATCACCTCCCTGGCCCACCCAGGCCCCACCCCTCACCACTCACCTGCCAGTACAGTCACCTCCTCCTTGATTTCCCAATCCCCACGCTGGGCCCCTTCAGCCTGTCGTCCTCACAGTGTCCAGAGGGTACCCATGAGCACTGAGTCAGGGCCATCCCCCCTCTGCTCAGAACCCTCCATGGCTCCCACCCTAATTTGGACAAAAACCAAAGTCCTCCCTGCTGCCAAGGCACTGCACCACCCGCCCCTGTGGCCCCCCGGCCTTCACCTCCCCCCCACACTCCATTCAACCGCACTGGCCTCCTTTCCGCTGGAGTCTTCTCACCGCAGTCCCACCTCGGGCACCTTGAACTGCTCTGTCCTCGGCCCACAGTGCCCTTCCCCCCCACCCCCAGGTCTTCCTTTCCATGGCTCCCTCCTCAGAGAGCCCTCCTTCCCTTCCCGCCAGCTAAGGCCAGCCCTGGGCTGATATTCCCCATCTTGCTCCAGGGGATGCTAACACAGCTGTGACAATAGAAAACAAATTCCGGAGCTGAGTTCCTGAGGCTCGTACACTTTATTGGATGTAAGTTATATCTGAGTTAAAAAGTAATAAAAACAGGCACCTCACGCACCAATCACTCCTCCTCATGCGTTTGGTTACCCGAAATCGTCTTGCCGATTTGTTTGGGTACAGGAAACAACCAATGGATGTTTCTCTCTCACACTGATGTTTCTCTCTCTCTCCCTTCCTAATCTCAGTAAATTTAAAAAGAATTATTTGACGATACGTGCAAGAGTTTATTTCTGAGCTCTCTATTCTATTCCATTGGTTTATGCCTGTCTTTCTTTATGCTGATGCCAAACTTACAACAGAGCTATGCTTTGGTTACCATAGCTCTGTTGTAAGTTTTGAAATCAGGAAGTATGAGACCTCCAACTTCGTTCTTTTAAAAATCATTTTGGCTTTTCAGGGTCTGTTGAGATTCCATATAAATTTTAGGATGGATTTTTTTCCTGCAAAGCATCATTGGGATTTTGATAGAGATTGCATGGAATGTATAGGTTGCTTAGGGCAATATTGACATCTTAACAATATTAAGTCTTCCAATCCATGAACTCAGGATGTCTTTCCATTTATTTGTGTCTTCTTTCTTTCAGCAACAAATTTTAGTTTTTAGTGTACAAGTTTTCCACCTTCCTGGTTAAATTTGTTCCTACACTTTTTTGTTTCTTGTTGATTCTATCATAATTGAAATTTTTTCCTTAATTTCTTTTTCAGATTGTTTTTTTTCTAGTGTATGACATGCAATTGGTTTTAGGGGCTTTTTGTGTGTTGTTTTACAACTTTGCTTAATTCATGTATTAGTTCTAATAGGCGCGCGCGTGTGTGTGTGTGTATTCAGGGTTTTTTATACATAAAACGTCTACTTCTTTTCAACCCTTCCTTACATTCTTGGATGCCTTTTATGTATTTTTCTTACCTAATTATGGTATCTAGAACTTCCAATCCTATGCTTTTGAATAGAAGTGATAAAAGTGGGCATCCTTGTCTTTTTCCTGATCTTAAAAAAAATTGTTTTACTTTTGAACCATGGGAATGTTTCAACTATTTGAACTAAAGGCAAATGTACTAGAAGTGGCCTCTGCATTCCCTGGCACTGCATGGTCCTGCGTTCTTAGGCACGTCCTGCTGTGTTCTCGCTTCCGAATTCCTTGAAGATCAGGTTGGCATCTCCCCTCAGGGCTCTCTCTGTGTTCTCAATGCAGGCTTGTTTTTGAGTCTGGTGTGCTATCTGAAAGGAAGGACTGACAGTCCCGGACAAAATTTTAATTCCAAATGATCAAAATCCCAAGTGGAATTCAGAAACAGCACATCTCTCGTGTTGCAGTCACGCCCATGATACTTTCTCTTATTTTCACTTATTTAATCATTGCTACAGGCAGGCGCTGGGGTTGGAGGCCATGGTTTCTGCCCTCACATGGCTAACGGGTGTTTTATGGAGATAATTCGATGGCAACCAAGTCAAGGCAGGCCCTTAATCGCACCGACTGGAAAGCGCCAAGCACCTGCAGCTACTCATCCTTTCTTCGCTGTCTGCCGGGCCCAAGGCCAGACCATCAGCCAGGCTCGCTTCTACCAAAGGCCCGACTTCCTCCGGTGGAGACTATCGGAGTCCCAGCCGCCTGGTGAGTTAGAGGTGAAAACCAGGACAAAGCGGCTACCCATTAGAATGAGGAAACAGCCCTGCCTGGGTTGTCTTAGATTATTTTGCAACCAGGAACTTTCAAACGAAGGGGATCCACGGAAAGATTACTTTTTAAAAATATATTTTTATTGATTTCAGAGAGGAAGGGAGAGGGAGAGAGAGATAGAAACATCAATGATGAGAGAGAATCATTGTTTGGCTGCCTCCTGCACACTCCTTACTGGGGATGTGCCTGCAACCAAGGTACATGCCCTTGACCGGAATCAAAATCGAACCTGGGACCCTTCAGTCCACAGGCCAACGCTCTATCCATTGAGCCAAACCAGTCAGGGCCAGAAAGATTACTTTTAAGTGCCTAGGAGAAAGAATGTCTTCCCTGAAGAGAAGAAGAAAAAAAGATGCCGTTGCCACACAAAGACAGTCAAAAACTAAGAAATAAAAGAGCAAGCCCATTTATGATGTTTATTGTGGCAAATCTATACGAAGTTACCAAATACAACAACCCCCTGAGCTAGTTGCAGAAGAGCAATGGAGGCTCCAAGAGGTAGAAGTAGAAAAATGAATCAGCATGACCCTGTCCTCAGGGCACATGTGGTGTTAGGAACAGAAGGGGCCTGGTGATTTCCACACGCAGGTCACAGGGAGACTTGGGGAGAGCTGTCCTGGAGACCTTGCACCCCAGGAATGTTCTTTTCAGAGCTTTTGTGGTCCTTTTCCAGGTCCGCCTTCGCATCTAAGGAGGACTAGCTCTGGAGACTTAGAGCTACGTTCCTTTCCGGAAGACAGCCTCTTCCTGGTCACTCTTCCAGGCCCGCTGACCAGGGCCTCTTGCTCTCAGACGGTTCAGGGAGAGCTGGGCTCCCCACAGAAACACAGCATGTTATGTCTTGTCATTTTTCTGAAGGGAAACCAAACTTCTGATCCTAATTGATTGAAAAAAGAAATGGAGCAGATGGTACAAGGAGTGGAGTTTCGTGGTGGCACACTCACAAATGTTGCAACAGTTCCCAGAACTTGCCCATCCTTGTAAATTTGCCCAGGTGATTGCTAATTAACTCATTTGACCCTGAGCCTGAGCCTGCCAACTAAGGGAACAGGGCATTATTTTCTCCCCTTTCCGGGCTGTGAAAGCTAATTCACTCACCCAAGGTCTGTCTGATTCCAGAGTTGGGGCTCTTAACTACCATTCTGCTTATAAATCTCTTCCTCTATTCATCACCGTTTTTCTTTCTGAAGGTTTGATTGTCCCCTTCTGCCTCTTTTTAATTTTTACTGATTTTACAGAGAGGAGGGGAGAGAGAGAGAGAGAGAGAGAGAGAGAGAGAGATCCATCTGTTGTTCCACTTATTTGTGCATTCGTTGGTTGACTCTCTCACCTGCCTTGACTGCGATCAAACCCGCAGTTTGGCATATTGGGCCGATGCTCTAACCAGCTGAGCTACCCAACCAGGGCGCTGGCTCTTTTCTGCCTTCTCCCTTGGGTTTCCCATCTGCGTCCCAGAGCTCAGTGTGCTCTGCCAAGCACCGTTTGTAAACCCCAGGGAACTCCACTCATTCTTGGGGGAGCCCTCCAGGGCTGCCAGGTGCTGTGTGAGCCTTTTGGCCGGGGCCTCCGGCAACCGCACAAATCCCCGAAGAGGCTTCTGATCCTTAGAAGCTGCGCTGCTCTCCACCAGCCCTCCCGCCGGCTGGGCAGTCACATCGGCTCTGAAAGCCCCACTTTGTTTTGATTTTTCCTTGGCGAGAGGTAGTGGCCTGTTTGTTCGTCTCTTTCTCCGAAAAGGATGAATCAATAGCTATGTCCAGGCTCCAGGTTTCGGGTCCGTTGTTTTAGCGATGTTTTTGCTCATAATTCATCCAAGTGTCGAATCCCACAAGACAGACCCGTGGTTGGTTGTACTTCTGTGAGGATTTTACTCAAAGGCCTCCTCGATTACTGTTTACACTGCGATTTGGAATAACCGTCTAAAAACTATAGAGAACTAAAACTCGGCTAAAATCTACATTCAATTCCTAGAAAGGAAAAGGTGCAGAGAGAAAGGAGGGGGGAAACTTTCCAACATTCAGTTTCTCCGTCTGAGGCCGAGGAGACCTTGTTGGGAGGACAGACCATTCACCTTGGGACACTGAGGAGGAACGGAGCAACGAGAAGTTGGTGGGGATTGCAAGGAGATCTTTCAGGAGACGCATTTCCAGTTTGGGGAGAGCCCGCTCTTCGCCCAAAGCCCACAAAGCCGGGGTCTGGCCGGGGGCCCGCAGGGCTAAAGGGGTTAAGGGGCTGTGTCCCATCCACGGCCCAAACTCCTCCTCTCGCCGCGAGGTGCAGATATTTGAAAATCACCCCATGCAGACTCCTCCCCCTCGGAGGGACCTCGCATTGAAATGCTGCAAATGACTGGGCCCCGCGTGCAGTCGCCGCCGGGCTGTGCGAAGCCCGAGGTTGCCGCGCGGACACTGCGAACAGGGGCCGGCAGCCGGGGCCGGGCGCCGCGGAGAGCATGAGGCTGTGCTGGCTGCCCGTCCTGCTCCTCGCCGCGGAGATGCCTGCAGGTGAGGCTGGCTCCGGGCGCCCGCTCGGGGTGTGGGGAGCCCCCCGAATTCCCGGAGCCCCCTTGGTAATTTTTTTTGGGGGGGGGAGAGGGGCAGCGAAAAAAATCACTGCATCCTTGGGAGACGTGGGACAATGGCACAAAGTCCGCCCCAACAGCTGGAGAGAACGCTGAGGGGCGCGAGCGTCTGGGGAGCCAGAGGAAACGGGATGCGGCTTTCTCCGCAAGTCCGCTCGAATGGGGATTCCCCTGGTCTCCCTCAGACCGGGAGCCGGATCCCCAGCGCTGGGGAGGGGGACCCCGTCCCGGAGTTACTGTAGGGGCAAGGGTGACCCGAAGTTCGGCTTCCCCGCGCCCCACCGCGGGCAGGAGGCACCGAGGCTC